GGGGGGGGGGGGGGGGGGGAAGCGGCAGCGTGAGGCCGGGGCTTCAGCACGGCCGCGGGGCGGACACTGTCCGTCCCATCACAGTCACGGTGGAGGGCCCGTTCTGAGCAGCCTGACCCGAGACGCCTGTTGGGCACTAAGTGGAGCCCAGGAGGCGACTGGGGGACACGTGCTGGGGCTCAGGGTGCGGTCAGAGTGGGGGAGCTCCGGGCAGGACGAGGCCCCAGGGAGAGACAGGACCTGCAGACACTAAAGCCAGGGGTGAGGGGAGGCGTCTGCCAGTGGTCCGCCGTGTCCCGGCTGTGTTGAGAGCAAGGGCAGGCAGCATGGAGGTCACCGTGACCCAAATGTTGGCAGCCAAGTGAGGAGGGTGACACCGGAGGGGGTGGGGACAAGCACAGGCGGGTGGCCCGTCCCCAGAGCCTGCATGGAGGGACTGGGCCGGACAGGGCAAGGCCACTGCCCCAGGGAGAATGGGGCCCTGCAGGGGAGCTGAGAAGGTGGTGGTGAGCAGACAGGGGTCTTGTCTGAACGTTGAGGTTTCAGGAAAGAAGGGTGCTGGATGGAACGGTCTCTCAGAGGTCACAACGGCCACCCCACCAGGGCAGGGAATGGCATCTGGTGCCCGGGGGCCTGCCTCTCTGTCTCTCTTGCGGGGGTAGGTGGGGGGGGCAGCTGCAGGGAGCCCCAGGTGCTGGAGGGCTTCCTCTCAAGCCCGCCCAGGAGCAGCCTCTCTGGGCCTCGGTTTCCCTCCCCTTGGGTCTGACACTTGGTCCGTGAGGGCATGGTGGGCTAGACATCGTTTATACCAACCCCACATGGGCCTCTCCTACTGGTGGTCTAGAAGGGCTTTCAGAACCCGAGCTCCAAAGTCAATCAGACCCGGTTTCATTCTTGAGACTCCACCACTCTGGGCCTCAGTTTTCTCGTCTGTGGAAGCAGAGAAAGGAACGCCGGCCTTGAGGGGTCTGTGCGGGTTACCTGGGCCGCATCCACCCGGGACTCGGCCCGAGGTCAGCCCTGGGTTGGTGGGGCGACAACCGTCCTTGCTAAGTTTTAGGGCTGGAGCCCACACGGGCCTCCGAGGCTCCCAGTCCCTTCCCTATGCCGCAAGCAGCAGCACAGTCCCCAACACTGACCCTACAGATACCAAGAGAAGCCCACAGCTGGCCCCTCAGACCCGGATCCCAGCTCAAGGCCTCAGCGCTGCCTTGAGACCCCCAAATAAAAGGGAACTTGAAAACCAGAAATAACACAGTAGGGAGAGTTGAGCCGTAAACACCGCAGGCACAGGGGCATGAGGAGTGCCCACCTCACTTGACAGACAGGTACTAAATTCCTTAAAAGAGGCAGAAGGTAGAAACCTGGCAGCCCCTGGGGGGCAGGCAGACCACCTGTTCTGTAACAGCCAACCAACGGGCTGAGAAATACGTCCTAACCTGCACAAGTTAAAACCCCCAAAAGGTGTCCCAGCCCCCCTCCGTTCCATGTGAAGGTCAAGGTCGAGACCCAGAACAAGGTCTCCCCCCTGCCCTGGGTTCAGCCAAGGGGTGGCTGGCCGAGGAGCAGGGACAGAAACAACAAAACATTCCTTATCATTCTGCTGAGAAGCGGAGGGCTGCTGAAGCACCCGCCAGAGAATGCTCACCAGCTGGCAAATCCACCCCCGCCATCGAAACCCCCATAAACCGCAAAGGTAGAGGCAGCCCACTTGGGTTAAATGTGGTGAATTCAGCAAGTTCTGACCAAAGAGCCATCAGGTGTATGGTGGGGGTGGGGGTGGGGGGAGGGCAGTGCACCAGGAGGCTCCTCGTGCTCCCCCTGCCTACCCAGAGCCACGCTCACCTCTCGCCCTGCTGCCCCAGGGCTTGGGGACTCGGGCACCCAGCGGCCCACACACCTGCTCACACGCACACACCTGTCTCCATCCTCGTCCTCCTCCACGGGCACCCAGCTCCACGCCAGCCCGCAAGTCCCATCGCCCCCGCCAAGTCACAGAGACAATCAGGTCACGGACCCCAGCCTCGCTTCTTCCGTGGGCGCCCCCAAGAGACCACAGCGTCTCCTTAGGGGGTCCCTGTCGGGATGCAGCCCAGGGGCCACCCTCGGGGTCACCCCATCCGCAAGTCCCCATGGCATCCTGAAGACCCGTAGAGAGGGGACACGGAGTTACCAAGGGACACCTGAGAAGGCAAAGCAGTGAAGAGAGTCACAAACCCCACCCCCCAAAGCTGGCAGACGCCGGGGCATAGCGCTCGTGTTGCAGAGGGCCCGCGGCCTGCCCCGGGTGCTAGGCGGCCAGCGCTGCTGCCGGGGCACCCCTCAGGCTGCACCCGCCTCTCCCGCCCGCAGAAGACGTCTTTCCCTGCAAGGACTGCGGCATCTGGTACCGCAGCGAGCGGAACCTACAAGCCCATCTCCTCTACTACTGCGCCAGCCGCCAGGGCACCAGCTCCCCCGCTGTGGCCGCCCCCGACGAGAAGCCCAAGGAGACCTACCCCAACGAGCGGGTCTGCCCCTTCCCCCAGTGCCGCAAAAGCTGCCCCAGCGCCAGCTCCCTGGAGATCCACATGCGCAGCCACAGCGGTGAGCTCCGCCCCCAACAGCGTGTCTCCCCACCCAAGCCATGCATGCGCACTGCATTTTTCCTGGGGTTGCGTAACTGCCGTGGACGTGCCCGAGTGGTCCTCCCACCACGCCGAGCAGCCTCCCACAGGGCCCCAGGCCACGCGCCCCGCCTGCGACCGGCTGGGTGGTCGGCTGGGGGCTGGGCCCCCGATGGGGTCCTAGGAGGCAGAGCTTGGGGGCCCTGCACACGTGCCCGTGCCGCAGTCCGGCTGGCCAGGCTCCCTTAACGGGCCCCGTGTTCCAGGAGAGCGCCCCTTCGTGTGTCTCATCTGCCTGTCCGCCTTCACCACCAAGGCCAACTGCGAGCGGCACCTCAAGGTGCACACAGACACGCTGACGGGTAAGCGGGGCCAGGAAGGGGGCGGCGGGGTCTGTGGGGCGCAGCCACCGGCAGGGCTCTGACACCACAGCCCACCGGCAGGTGTGTGCCACAGCTGCGGCTTCATCTCCACCACGAGGGACATTCTCTACAGCCACCTAGTGACCAACCACATGGTCTGCCAGCCGGGCTCTAAGGTTGAGATCTACTCATCAGGGGCTGGGCACCCCACTGCCAAGCTCCCCGCAGGTGAGCCCCTGGGGACCCTGAGGACTGGGAAGGGGGAGGCAGGCTCGGCCACGACGGGTCGGG